CTCGTCTTGAGGACTCCGCCGGGTGCATCGCCGCCCTCTTGTGTCGACAGAGGGGGCAGAGCGAAACCGTATTGCTCCGGATGAGCGTCTTCCAGATGATCCCGGTCACCCTTCTTGAGCTGGACCCAGTAGACTGTGCCGCTCACACCGGTACCAATAATGGCTTCCTTGGGGTGCTGGTTCGAGGCAGAGGAAGAGATGGCCACATTAAAGATTCTATCCTTAGTGTCCGTAAAGAGCTTCGCATCCTTACCGTCCTCCTGACGAATCACCCGAAGGCCGCCAGCCTTGGACATGCCATAGGCCATGTAGGTCTCTGACGCCGAGACAAGATTCCGATCGATTTGGTCGAACTCCTTCTTCAACCTAGCAATGTCCAGAATCGCTTCTTCGCGGAAGACAGGGCGAACTTCGTCCGTCTCCTGGACACTGATAGTGATCCAGGGTTTCAAGGGGAAGTTGTACACCTTGATGGGTGCTGCTGTCTCCTCAATCACGACAATCTCGTCGGCTTCGGCACTTTCCCAGCTATCCGCCACCGGGCCCTGGGCGGCCTGAGCCGCCTCGTCCACAATATCTCTGACTTCCTTGGCCAATTCAGCATTGAGAGCATCCTCAAGAACGTCCTTGTTTTCGTTCTTCTCAAGCTGTTTCTGGATGGCCTGAGCGGCAGTTTGGGCAGACTTGGCAAATTCCTCATCCGTCTCGGCGCTCATCATTTGCTCGAGGTCCTGGGCGATTTCAGCCTGAGCACTCTCTTCCCCGGCACGAGCCAGCGCCTCTTGGGCTTCTCTGTCGGCCTGCTCAGCAAGCCCGACGACAGCTTCAGCAACACTCTCCTTCTTCTTTTCACCTTCCACGTGGTCTTGACCAAGTTCAACCTTGGCCTCCTCGCCTGGGGAAACGGTGACGATGTTGGGAGCGACTCGAGGCGCACCCGTAGACCCATGGGGAGACGATACATGTTCCAGCTTCCGTCTCGTGTGGTCGGGGCTGCCTGTGGCGCTATGGTCGCTTAAAGGCCGCTTAGGATCATGAGGATCATGCTTCCGCAGAATCTGAATGGCAGGTGCTGCGGGGGGGCGGCTGGCATTGGGATCCATGGTAGAACCAGCAGACGACTTGGGAGTCCTCTGGCTAGGGGAGCTGACCGAGTGATCGTCATGCTGACCAGAGAATCCGAATATCGCCGACCGAGCAGCGGACGCGGGTTGCGAGTGCTGCGACTGCGGGGTCGAGCTGAACTTGGGGGGCGTGGATTCAAGACCCTGTGGCTCAAAATCAAATTCCGATCGAGACGGCACGGTCCCAAGGAGGGACAGATCAACAGATTTGCCGGCGCTTTTAGAGTCCTCGGCCGGGGGAGGGGTGAGAAGACTGGATTCGACAATGTCGCTCGTATCGTTCTGGCTTGGTTTCGGCTTGCTCAACAGATTCAGCAGATATTGCTGGGTGTTGGAGGGAGGAGCGGGCTGATTCCAAGACGAAGAGGGAGCAGGGGCGGCTTCAGGCTTGGGCTGTTCCGGGTGCGCGCCACGCATCAAAGCCGCAAGAAGCCCACTAGGATCAGAACCGCTTGGTGCGGGCGCGTGAAGAATCGGAGGCGGGACATTGTAGCTTGGCTGAGCTTCCTGGGAGAACTGCGGCTGGTTCTGGGTGGACGAAGAGCCTTGTGCGTTAAACTTGAGGAGGTTCAGCAATTGAGCAGTCCGATTTTCGCCAGCAGGAGGAAGGCCGCGGCCGGCACCCATCTGCTGCATCAGTCCGGGTGGGAACTGGGAGTTATTGAATGCGTGGATAGGCGGGGTCGGAGCTTCAGGGAGGAACGCGGCGGGGTCCAAGGCGTTCTGAAAGTTACCGGTCAGAGCAGGAGAGTCAGGCCCATAGTAGGACTGGCCGCCCTGGGGGAGATTGTGGACGTGACCGTGGCCGTGGTGTCCGTGGTAAGCATGTTGGCCGTATTGGTTCGAGCCGTTAGGACCAGCAGCCGGATTAGGGCTGGTGGAAGACTGTTGGCGACGAAGCTGAGCCAAAAGCATCTGGGACGCGGCGGCGCGGTCGGATTCGCCGTCGGCCGAAACGTTGCCACCGGGCATGTTGAAGTTGTTGGGCATCATGAGGAATGGCCGTTTCTGACTATCGACACAACTTGGTATCCAGACAACAAACACGCAAAGGTGGTATTTCGATTTTCTACCGCAAGCCGCCTTCCGGCAGTGGCAGTGGCAGAAAAGTGGAAAGTTCGGGACGTCGAGGGGGGTTGAAGCAGTGTCACTGATGACGGACAGCGATGGCGACGAGGGTTTGTGCGATGAACGGCGCTCGTGCAGTGACCAGTTGTCTGTCGTCGGTTGTGGTAGGCTCTGTTGAGTGGCTTTCGATTGTCGAATTACCTAAACCAAACGTGACGGAGGAGAGGGGGTTGTGACTGGGTTGGTCGATGTTGGTGGGAGGAGGGGACCTCAGCTCCAGCTGGGACTCTTTTTAAAATCAATGACGCTATTTTGAGGAGCGAGGGTTAGACAAGTGGAGGGGAACCGAAAGAAGCTTCACCAAGCTCGGCCGGGCTCAGAGCTTTGAGGCTCAGGGTTAAAGCCCACGACACCTGCCACCAACTGCAGCGTGTTCCGAGGGCCAAACAGAGAGGGCGAGCGCGCGAAAATACAGCGGTGCGGGAGTTGGAAGAGGACCGGGCACTCACTATTCTAATTAGCTGCTTGATTTCTCAGCTCCAGTCTGCTGCAAAGGTCAAAAGTCGCGGGCGCAAAGAAACTGACAGTAGCCAGTGTGATGCATTCGCGCGAAGAAGTTGACGATGTTGGGTGAGGAGAGAAAAGAAGGGAAGAGGTGAGAAGAGAGCTCGGGGTCGGGAGTTTCGTGGGCTAGTTCGTTTTGTTTGGTTCCGTTTAGCGGGTTGGCGGGTTGGCGGGGGAGGAAGAGGAGAGAAAGTGGAAGCTACAGGCCACCCACTACAGTTGAAGGAAAAAAGAAGGACCCAGGGCAGAGCCTTGAAAATGACGGAACCTGGGAAAGCTGCCACAGTGCGCAGAGATTGCCCCAGCCCAGCCTCAGACCCTGAGATTGGTTGGATTTGGGTCTGTCCGTTTGCCAGAACTGGAACACACGTTCACTGGCTTTAGGTATTCTTTGCCTTTTGCCAGTTGGCTCCCGCTGCCCGGTCTGTTTCTTTCCGGTTCACTTCTTTTACAGACTACATTACACTAGAAACTGCATACCATGTATAAAGTGCAACGCATTTGGGTGTCCGAATTCTGCTTTCCTCACCAAACTCCGCCTCAGAAACTGCATATATGCCACTTTAGTGCATAGGTTTTCCCGGCCCGAATTACATGCAGTTTCAGGGTTCAATACCGCGACGCAGTCCCGGCCCAGACCTGCAGAGAACATTGACAGTTGACACCGACAGATGTGAGGCCTACAGCTAGGTGGATGTGACAGCCAGAGAAAACGCTTCTCAAGGCTGGGACAAGTTGACCACGGGCGATTCTCATTTGGCCTCCTGTCGTCTGGGCATGGTGGTCAGCCAATAATGGCCACGGATGGCCCGTGCCACTATCTGCTGTCTTAACACATGTCCACGTAGCCAACGCCCGCCATCACCTTCACATCCACGGGTCCGACCGGATTCCCAGTCGACGTTGAGCATTGGGTGTTCCGACTCTGACCTGCATTGAGTAGCGCGGGGAAGATATGTGCATGACGACGGCATCCAAACAGATTCATTTGATATCTGTCGTGTGTGTGACATGATAATACCGCATTTTCCAGCCTATGAGGCTGTTGGTGATATCAAGGTCGAACTCTGACTGTGGGCTGGTATATGTGAACCATCCTCTCTGTTTGAAGGAGTTCTTCCCTGGCATATGACAAGTGGAAGACTTGGTTTGTAGATTCTGGCTGTAGGTGGCTGGCTGGACGCAACTGACTGCTCAAGATGTCTTTTGTATATCAGACACGGAAAGTTATACATATCGTCGAGCACATGAGTATCCTCTACTCTAGGTGTTCTTCCAACTCCTCGGCTTCTTGATGGCCAAGATGAACTGTCGTCAACTCGTCGGCACTCAACCACGTGGCTTATGTAAGCAGGAGGGATCTCAACCTTGACCCGGCATCATGGGAATTGCAGCCACGGCAAATGGAATGCAACTGAGCTGAAAATGGCAGGGGCAGCCACTCGCAACGTCCAGCCCCACCGTCCCCGGTCCCAGCGTCATTCCCGATCTCCGACAAGACAATTGCGCAAGTGACATTTGCAAGGCCAGCAGATCGTCCCGTCCGCCGCGTCAAGGTTCCTTTGACACTGGACCTAGGACCCCGAAAACCTAAAAACAGAAAGTAAAAAAAAAACATCATTGTTCCCTCCGTCGCGATTATCGCCCTTCCGCGCTCTGCCTGTCGCCGTGCAATTACAATTGTCAATAGAGCTTTCGCCTTGTTTATCCCGCCAGTCCCTGATCCTCCTGCTTGATTTTGCGCCTGGCGAATCGAATTTCAGATGGTGACGGAATCGCCAACTTTTCCACTCGCTCTTTGACGACGAACAAGCAAAACTCTGAACCGTTCTCCTTCGAGTCCCACGAACCCGCCTGCCACGCTAAAGTTCGGGAAGAGTGTGCGACACGGCAGATTACTCGCTCGGGTTCTGCTCAAGAAGTCTACTCCTCGTTTTCGTCGAGGTACATGCGATTATAATCTCCCAATCTCGAACCTCGAATCATACCACCGTGGTGTACACACACGCTCGCTCATCTCGAGTCCGATTCGACATCGCCGGCGGTTTACCAATCCCACATACGCTAGTACAGCGAACAACCCGAGCGGCGCCGTCCCCTTGATCTCAGTTCGCGCCCCGTCAACGGTCTCTCGGGTGTATTCCAGCCAGGAAGGACACTTTCATTCGGTTTCCCCACCCACTATTCGGACAGTAACACTACCCGTCCAGTTGCCTTTGTGCAACAACCACGCATAAGAAAAAAATGTTCTGTCTTCGGAGGTTCGTCAGATTCTACCTATTCCAAGCTAGGCGCATGGCTAGACCTAGTATGTGCATCTCTAGGGAAGAAGATCACTAACGAATATCAAAAATCCAGTTGGCTTCCGCTGCTCTTCATACCGACCAACGCGTCACCCGCCTTCATCCTCGTCTTCTTTATCTGCACATACTTCCTCAACCGACCATGCATATACTGCTCCTTCCTGCTCGTCATCCTCTTCCTGACGTCGTGTAACTGGTCCGACCGGTGCTTTTTCGACGTCAGCAGCAACTGGTTCCAACCAAAGGATCTACCGAACCCAACGACACATACTATCTACGCCCCTACTACGAATAATAGCACAGCCATGGTGGAAGGGTCAAACAGCACGGCAGCAGTAGCTCTCGACATGTTCAACACGACGGTCGGCACGCTGGCGACGGCCGCGATGGACAAGGCGGCCAGGACAAGGGTGGAGTGGACGGGCTTGGGACTGGAGTGGTTGAGGAGTCTGCTGGGGAGGAGGGAGTGGCGGATCGACTGCTTGGACCTTTATATCAGACTATAGGATGATCCTGTTACTAACGTTACTAGGGAGGAAGCAATAGGAGTGGGTAATTTGAACCTTTATCCCATCTGGATCGCGGAGTGTTGTTCCTTGTGTGCATTATGTTTCTTCCTGGCCGTTTTGATTTTCCGACGTGACATTTGGATTCCTTGGATGTTGCGAGTAGAAGCTGTGCTTTGATGGCTGGACGGTGTGCCGCCACGCTAAACTCTGCGGTGGTTATGTTAAAAAAAGAGGAGTGATTCTGCTTTTTGCGGAGCTCCTCGTTCGGTAGACAGGCGGCCTCATGAGCTTCGTTTTGTTGGAGCTGTTACATATCAGGCAGGTATCGGAGAGCATATAGCGGAAGCGACTAATATTTATTTAGCGGAGTATAACTTTTGGCGGGACAACAGGAACTGGCTACTTGTACATGACTTCCAGATACCCATAGCGTAGATATTATCATCATACATGCGTACATTACCTATTAACAAGTAGTTGTAACTAACAGGGGAGACAGTTTTCTGGTGTTCGCTTGGTGACGTAGATCGACGCGAGTGTCCTCCCTCGCTCCTTGGAGAAACTTGGATTATTGCGAGAAGGACTTCAGTGCGTTTATCATCTGCCAACGGTACTCATCAAAGCCTCAAACACAATGGGGTCGTCAACATCTCTGAGTTGCAGCACCGACCCTGAACTGACATTACAACCAGACCTAAACCCCTAGACCCAGAAAAATCATAACACACAATAAAGATGGCACTTCGTTAGACGAACCCATTTGCAGTAGATTCAAGACCGAGCCAGCCAAAAAGCTATTGGGAAGATGTTCGATACACACAGCAAGTCACCCCATTTCTGGCAGCCCAAAGACAAACTGTAGTCCTGGGGTCTGTCTATTTCTAAGGTAAGCATCTGAATGGGATATTGCCAGATGGCAACAGTGGCAAAACAAGCAGGCAGAAGAAAAAATAGAACGGGTAACCAGAGAAAATAGTTTCGGGTCGTCTCGGCTTCCACAACTCAAAGAAGCGGTCAAGCACTCTAACTGCAATGCACAACAAGGAATGATTCGAACAGTCGTAAGGGAGTTATCTCTCGCTCTTTGTCTCTTATCGGACTTTGAGTAAGAAGGGAACATCCGGTGACCGAGAATTACCAAGTGATAATAAGAGTTGGTTCTCTTTTCAGAGGCTCTTTAACTTCTTCCTTTCTCTCTTAGGTCGCTCTTCACTTCTCTTTTCACTTCTCTCTTCACTTCTCTCCAAGATCCTCTATTCATTCTCTGGAGGAGAGTACAAGAGGTAGAACCGCTCCCAGAAGACCTAGGTTTAACAAGCGTTTATCTTTTATTGTTCGTTAGCAGTCACCAAGAAGTTGCTTTGCCCCGTAATAGTGGTTACGTCTACGTAGAAAACGATGTCCAGGAAATCACTTTGCTACGAGTTCGGCTATAACATGTCCAAGCACGCAAAGATGCTTGCGAAGCCGTTGCTGGTAACGAACTATGCGAGATTCAGATTGCTTGGAAGTTGACAGGATATCGAAGTGTTTCGTTCCTGTTATTCATGGCTGACACGCTTGATGAAAGTAAGTTGAATTATAACTCGAACGACACTTCTCAAGTATGCCTCAACAACACTTATCTCATTCTGAACAACGAGTACGCCAAATTCCACGTCGCCATTCAGTACTCGAGAAAAGGAAAAAAAAGATGCCTCAAGATCAGTTCCAACCCACATAGAGGGGAACATCGAACACCAATCATGACACACGCGGGCAAAAATAAGAGTTTCAAAAATTCAGAGCACAGAAGAACCTTCCGGATCACAACCAACAATCATTTTATCACTCGGATACAGGGAGTCGAACCCGGGGCTGTTGAGAAAAGCAAGCAGTTCAGTGCACTTCCTTTTGTGAGAGGAGAAAAGTGAGAGTCAACGATGTTACCGCTAGTTACACCACGCCCGATCCACGTCATGTACCTAAGCTATGGAGAGAGCTTCTTTTTTGCTCTGTTCATTGAGAGGAGGCAGGGAGGGTAGGGGTTGTTTGGGTTATTAAGGGAGGTTTGCCTCCGGCCTTTACGCGTGAAGAGGGTATCGTGGCATGTTGGGAACTTGTGGCGGGCTGGTGAACAGTGGTGGTGGATATTTTGTGTTTATCGAGTGTCGTGGTGGTGGATTTAGGGCTGGCTGTGGCTGTTGTGCCTCTGCTTGTGGCCTGTAGCCTGGAGGCGTGGACCGGTGAACGGTGGACGGTGGACGGTGGACGGCACGACCCGGAAGAGTGGCACGAGTGGGTGAAGATGAACTGGTCATTGAAGACTTTTGCATGACTCGTAGTGTTGAGTCTTTCCTTCACCTGGGTGCTGGGTTTAGGTGAACGGAAGACCCCCACAGGTTGGTTTTATGAGCTGGCGGGTTTCATGCCCCTGTTTGCGGTCTCTTTGAGAGTCTGGTGATTTTATTGTAGCCAAGAGTCGTGTAGTGATTACCGAAAGAGTCAGCAACTTGAGGCTATCGTGGGTCGCCGCTGAAAGCTACAGACTCGCCGCTCCTGCGATGTTTGTAGTCAGTTGAGTGAGTGAATGACACTTCACCTTTTTTTCTTCTTTTTTCTTCTTCATTTTCCAGATGTCTCCTACAGAGCGAAGATGTCGACGCTCGCTCTTGCTACGTGTTCGCGACTCGAACCATCCCCGGAACTTCTTAACGCCGGAAAGACTGTGTCGTTGTGAGATAGCTAGCTATAGGTATAGCCTTATCTCGATCAACGTAGCCGCATCAGCCCATCATGTGCTCATGATGACGGTGGTGACAACACCTTCATTTGCTTGCTGTGTGTGAGTATCACAAAAAGATCCCTTGGTGCATCAGGAAATCAGTTGGCTATTATTATCCCACCCTCACCTGTTAATGAAAATCAACATTTTACCCCTCAGTCATGAGCCCTCGAATAGACTAATCTAGACCGCCGAGATCTTCAACCGACCGGCACCGCGAGATGTAACTCTGAATAGAATAGGAGGGGTTGAGGCGGCTATCGGAAAGGCATGATCCAGTCCTGGTCCTCAAATCTCCCACCTCTCCGCGTAACGCGGGGCAGACAGAGGAAGACACGGAAGCTGGGGCGATGGGGAAGGATAGCACGGGGAGACGGGGTCAGGGCCGAACGGTTGATCTTTCTCTCAATTCTTGACTGTCTGATTTCTCGTATCGCTGTCATACCTATCATGAAGTACAGTGAAGGTGTGATTATTATTTTGGGTGTGACAGCAGTGTGTTATTCCGTGCTGCCGTCGACGCCTTATGGAGTGTAGTGTAGAGATTCCTATGTGTGACACCAGAGCCACACACAGGAGCATCTGGATGCAACCGAGTGTGAAAGGTGGTGACTGTGGGTGGTGTTCTTCACTGGTGGTGAGAACGAAGTCAGGAACATGTGCAGTTCGCAAGAAAGGGGGGTCTATCAAATGTCTCAAGTGTCCAACCTTGGATCTCTTGGCATTCAACTTTCCCGTTCCGTCTGATCCGAGATTGTTGTAGAGATGGGACTTGAGGTTATTCGCAACTCCGGAGTCGATGGAGACGGACAAAGACAGTGTGGTCCTGAATGCGAAGTCCGAAGGAAGCCCAACGGGGTAAACGGCGGCGGCCCGGCCGATCCTACTAATCCATCAGCCAAAGTCGTCTGAATCGCATGCAGTTAGCCCGTGGGAATGCCCTCCTGCGTGTTTTGTGATGAGATGGCATTTCCATATTGTATGGCGATGCTGGTCCGAAATCCTTCCGATATAAGATCGAGAATTCTCCAATCTTTCCCCTTTGAGGGGCAGTGATGTGCATCATTACTTCTCTTTGAGGTCTAGATTGCGCGATTGATCTGGGTCTTGGCAGATACCGTGCGCGGGGCAAGCACTATGCACTGTGATGGGAAAGCTTGAACACTTCGACTTGCGCTGGAAGCGGCTGAGACAGGGGCAGCGCCGCTTCAGTTGCTGTGGCCACAGGAGCCAGAGAACGTAGACTCCATTATGACGTCATTGAGTGCCGTGCATGCAGGAGTTCGCAACTTTGCACAATTGGGGGCATGGTGGGTCTGGGGAGTCCACCGACACATTTCAGACATTCAAGCACCAACTTCGAATATGTTATCGCCCACTTATTATGCTCCAGAATCTCTACAGTTTCCTGATATTATCATCCGGTTTCTTGCCAATTGTCGTAGAAGCTTGAATTTCGCGACTCACTCGTGTCAGGTGCTTTCATAAGCGGATCTGGAGAGTGACTGATTGATGCCTTGTACAGATTCAATGCAAGGGATCATTGACAGACACCCCCCTTAGCAACGGGGGTCTCTGGATAATTCTGTCGCAAATCTCGACAAACCTGGCGGTGACTGCTGCATATGAGACGGTCTCTGGAGATCTAGAACGTCTTGGCTCTGTCCCAAAATCAAGGTCACGATTGATGAAGGTGGACAATCTTGGGCATTCTGGGCACAGGCCCGTTGTCTTTAGAGGTGGGATCCCTAGAGTTGCGGGTTGAACCACACTGCCGACCATTTCGGAACATAACCTCCCAGCGCGTCCTAATGGGCTGCTTAGCTTTAAATCGATATGCGGAAATGGCGCTATTCCACCCCTATGGTGCCGCCGAGAGCCGTGAGCACGTTTCTTTCCTGGATTTTACTGTGCCCTCCCGCCCTGAATACTTGGCGGTTAAAGAAAAAGTGGAACTTTTTGCCAACCCTCTCTCATAAAAGAGGAGGGGATTTTTTAATGGGATGGCGAAATATTATGGAATAGTTCCGAGCGATCATATATTAAATTGCTTGTTAATGCTATGGAAAACTACTTATTTGCATTGTAATTTTAGACTTCTTATTGCAATATGATATAATATAACATATTGCTTTTCATTGAAAATGTATAAGAAAAGTAAGTAGTTTAAATATTTAAAGATTATTAAATAGGTTGCTAAATTACTATATAGTACCCATCAATTTTAATAAAT